AGCCCAGGCTGGCCTCGAACTCACAGAGATCCGCCTGGCTCTGCCTCCCGAGTGCTGGGATTAAAGGCGTGCGCCACCACCGCCCGGCTCTTCTGACTTTATTCTTAAAAAAATTGGTCATCAGGTGGTCAAAAGCTGAAGAGGAGATAGTAAAGCTAGGTGTGGGTGACAGAAAGAAACCGCCCTGAGGATAAACTAAAGAAATCATTAGCCTGGTGTTTGTCTAGACGTCTTAAAACCTATTCAGCTTGTCTGAATGCCTAGGTTTTACAGAAGCCAGCTCCTGGCTATTCTAGTTTCATTTTGTAATGCTATTTGTAGCTAAATTACAATATTTATCTTCCTATTTGGCTGACTCAATTTTCTATATTTATTTAAACATTCTAATTTACCTAAAAAATAGTCTCTATTCATTTTTTGGGGTGGTATGGGAGATTGGCATCTATTCTTTCATTATAAAAATAATCTTACACAATAAAGAATAGTGAGCATTACACTCAACCTCATTCAGAATTCTCTCAGGGTGTTTACTGATATTTATGATATCTTTCTACAGCTGTGATCAGTATCTATATACTTATTTTAATCGTATTTTCTGCTTTAATGAGAGCACCAATTTGTCATCGTAGGTCAATACAAAGCATTTCATCTTAATTATCTATCTCGAGCCTTTCTGACTTAATTGATTCTAATATTTATAGGAAGCACAGTTCATCTGTATCTATTCTGCCAGGGTAGACCATGTGTTTTACTTTCTCCCAAAATGATACCCCACTATTTTCAATAACTACCAAAACAAAGTTCATGAAGTAGAGGCCATAAAGTGAGTCCTCCCAAGTAGTCCCGAGAGTTTTCCCTGTTGTTTGGTTTTGGAGACAAAGTATTGTGTAGCCCAGCTGGACTCACACTCCCTGTGTAGTCAAAGACAACCTTGAACTCCTGATCCTCCTGCCTGAGGTCGGGGATTACAGGCATGTGCCATAATCATATTTAAAAAAAATTGTGGGGTTTGGAGCAATGGCTCAGAGCCTGATGGCCTGAGTTCAGTTCCTAGAGCTCACAAGGCGGCAGAAGAGAACACTCCCACAGGGTGTTCTCGGACCCCATGCGTGTGCACAGAGTGTGTACGTATGCACTTGAGCATGCACAAACACAAAAACAAATATAGAAAAAAGATTAGGGAACAGCAAGATGGTTCAGCAGGTAACGATGCCTGATGATTCGAGTCCTGAAAATCATCCCCTGAGCTCCAAACATGTGCAGTGGCATGCATGTGCCTGCACTCATATACACACACGTGATAGACACAGCACAATAATAACTTTTAGAAAAAGATTAACCATCGGGAGTTCATCTGAATCTTGCCTCCCTCCTGGACATGCAAAGGATGCTGTCTGGTAGTGACTATGGACTAGAAATACCTTCCTTTGGCCCAACAACAGGAAGCTGGTCAAACCAAGTCAAGTTTAAAGCATAAGTAACGCAAATCCTTTTGCTACTTCTATTGTACACCGTTGTCGTTTAAAGGTGTTTTAAAAGAGCCTCGCGAAGCGGTGGTGCCCCAAGCCTTTAATCCCAGCACTCAAGGGAAGCAGAGCCAGGCGGATCTCTGTGAGTTCGAGGCCAGCCTGGTCCAGGATAGCCAGGACTGTTTCACAGAGAACCCTGTCTCCAAAAACAAACAAACAAAAAAATAAATAAATAAATAGTAAGTAAGTAAGTAAGTAAATAGAAGAGCCGCAATCGCTAGCTAGGCTTTCAAATTCTTATGCGAACAAATCCTTTCTAAAATATTACTTCAGGGCTGGAACTGCAGCTAAGGGACATAGCTCTGACTTAACATATAAAAGGCCCCGGGTTTAATCATCGGCTATGCAAAAGTTCCAGTAGGAAGGTTTTCAGAGTTACAGAGGAGACCTAGTGTAGACAGTATGAACTGTGATTAGTCCCCGCCGCTGCAAACCCACCAGAGGGCGCTCGTTCTCCGTCGATTTAATCCCTAGCCTCTCACCAGTGACAGCAAATTCAGTTAAAAGTCATCTTTCAGAGTCGGGGAGTCTTTCACGTTTAATGCACAAATGCTTCCCAAGAACTTACTCAGCAGCCTGTCGCGGGGGTAGAGAGTCATAAAATACAGTGGGGAACCGGGCGTGGTTTCTAGTAGGGGCGCAAGGTATGGCAAAGACTAACAGCAAACACCGGGAACGACAAGGTGGAGGGGGCGCCTGGGCCCCTGACGCTGCTGATTGGCAGGGGCTGCCAGCGCTGGACGCTCACAGTCCTTTAGCTCTCCTGGACAGCTCCCGCTCTACCTCGGCGGGGGGACGATCGCCACCCCAGGGCCACTGTCGGCCACAGCAGGGACCTCCCCGAGGGCCTCCGAACTCCGCCAGGCAAGCCCCCTCGCGCCTTTTCCAGAACCTTCTGCAACCCTCGGTTCACTTCTGCTTGCAGGTCAACACTTCATGCGTCCCCCAGCCAAGGGACTGCCTAGTGCCACCATCGGCACCTGCCGGTTCCAGTTCTTCCCTGGCTTAAAACCCGCGGGCTTTTCCTTTTGGACGCCTCGTTTCCCGTTCCGATTCTCGCGACAGTTCCGAAACCTCGCGTGAAATTTGTTCCCCGTTCCCTCGGAGGTTGGGGTTGCCGGTGTACAGCCCTCGTCCACCTTCCTGGTCAGGAACCCTCCGGCCAGGAGCGGCGTCTCTGCGGACGGAGCGCTCCTTTGAGGAGGGCTTGGTGGAGTTCAGACCCGCGCAACAAGAGGAGGGCCTCAGGCCGCCATGGAGAGCCGGGCCGCTGCGGGCCCCGTGCGCACGCGCAGTCAGGCCCCGTTACGCCCCCTGGGCGGGGCCGAGACAAGCCCCGCCCCTCAGCTGCCAGAAAACCGGGTTTCCTACCCCGGGAGGATCGCTGCTTCTGGAAGCTGTTTAGGGGCTGGCAGGGGCGGAGCCTGCCTTTTTCAGGGTGGTGGGCGGGCCTCCGGGGATGCTCTGCTTCCTGCCCCCAGCCCAAAGTGCCACCGTGGCGTTGGTGGCCGTCTCCAGGCTGAACACTGTTGGCCCTGAGATCCTCAGATTTGCAACCTGTAATCCGGACCCCGAGAGACGCCCTACGGGGAGTTGCCCGCCGGCCTCTCTGCGGCCGCTAGCCAGTTCCGACCTCTAATCACCAGGCTCCTCGCTGGTTCAAGCACCTGCCCTATAGTGGGAGGGAGGTGGCCAGATGTGGCATGGCAGATGGAGACGCTTATAGACGAGTCTGCGCCCCGGTGGAGAAACTGGGTGGGCACAGCGGCACACTGTCCCCGGAGGAGGCCGGCCCTGGGCCTGCCCTCCAGAAGTGCCCAAACACCAACGTAAACTTTCTTAGCAACAGAACCCCTTCCTTCTTCCCATTATGCATGCAGCTGTTTGCCGCTCTCAGGAACTAAATCAGAAGAGACAGGACCTAGGGGTTCAGCCAACAGCTTGAGCTCCTCGGCTATTCCCACCCCGACTCTTCGTCCCCAGTTCTCACACCCTTGCTTTCCCAGCTTCGGTGTCTGGTTGCGGCTGCCCTGTGCACTCACTGTGACTTCGGGCTAGGGTGGAAGTAGAAGGCCCAGGGAGGGTCTCTGTGACTGGATAAAATTACCGGCCTCAGAACCTGGGAAGAAGGCGGGTATTCGACGTCTAGGGGCGGAGAGAGGGGCGGAGGAGCTCCCCTTTGAATCTTAGCCGGTGGGCTGCCGGCGATTCTCAACAGAAGCAGAGGTGGCTAGCGGGTCTGGCTGGCGTGCATGCAACTCTTTTCAGTCCCTCTACCGGTTCTTTAGGATTGGAAATCACAGCTGTTACGAAGGGCCTAATCCAAGGCACTAGGTGAGTCGCTGGGACTCCCCCATCATCATCAGCCCACCTTGAACTTACTTCAGGTGTAGTTTTGTACACCTCTGGGGCAATGGTGCATCAAAGTTGGGTGGTATATGGAGAGGGTGCTGGTGTGTGTGCGTGCGTGCGTGCGTGCGTGCGTGTGTGTGTGTGTGTATACGTGCATGGGTGTTAGGGACCACATCCCGAGCTTTATCACCCCACCTCTCTTCACTCTCTCTCCCCCAAGACCAGATCAGTCCACTGGCATAATCCCCAGGGAGTAACCAGACACTTTGTTGGGGCTTCTAGTTGGCTCCAAGGTAGCAGAGGAAGGGGCAGTGTTAGCAACGAGCTTTTGTACGAGGGGCAGTGAGGCTGGTCTTTTCGAACTGGCTTTGTTTCTGACCTCCGGACCTGGCTTCCCTCTCCTGGCAGGGTGCCACCTACGCGCTGATGCCCCGAGTGCTCAAAGGGCTTCCAGCTAACCATGCTGCACCTACCTTGGCGCTGCCCCTGCTACTACTATTACTGCTGGTGGTGTGGACCCCGCTCCCCATTAGCGCGAGGCGGTCCGCAGGGACTGATTACCTGCGGCGAGGCTGGCTGCGGCTCCTAGCCGAGGGCGAGGGCTGTGCTCCCTGCCGGCCAGAAGAGTGCGCTGCGCCGCGGGGCTGCCTAGCAGGCCGGGTGCGGGATGCGTGCGGCTGCTGCTGGGAGTGCGCCAACCTGGAGGGCCAGCTCTGCGATCTGGACCCCAGCGCCAACTTCTACGGGCGCTGCGGCGAGCAGCTCGAGTGCCGGCTGGACGCGAGCGGTGACTTGAACCGAGGAGAGGTGCCGGAGCCGCTGTGTGCCTGTCGCTCGCAGCGCCCACTGTGTGGCTCCGACGGCCGTACCTACACGCAGATCTGCCGCCTGCAGGAGGCCGCCCGCGCTCGGCCCGACGCTAACCTCACTGTGGTGCATCCCGGGCCCTGTGAATCGGGTACGCAAGCCCAGGGCTCTTTGTACCGGGACTCGGGCGTCCTAAAAGCACTGTTCCCCGATCCCCGACAGGATTGGTCAGCAGAGAGAAAAGATGAGTAAGCCCGAGAGGCTCAAAGGCTGCCAACTAAAACGCAGGTCGAGATTTGTGGCAGGTTTAATGTAATGAGCTGCCTGAGAACCAGACTGGCAGGGACCAGCCTTCCGAGGGAACAGGCACATAGCCAATAGCTGGGTCAGAACTGAAAAGACCCCAAGACAACCCCCCGCCCCCCCTCCGCCCCGAGACTTTGCCCAGACTGCTGGAGCCCTGCGAGAGGGATTTTACAGCCTGTTAACCACAGCTCCCGCCTATCCCTTTTCTCTTGCATTTAGGGATTAGTTGAAAGGAAGATGGCTTCTTGCTTTCTCTCGCCCCTCATCCTTGGGGTTGGGGGGTGTTCAAGACTGAGTGAGGTTTTCTTTGGCGGCTCTCACTTCCTCAGCCTCCACCTAATGAAGTCTAGCTGGGCTGCAGCAGTTGCAGTGAAAACAAACGCGCCCCTAGGGGGTCCCAACAGTTTCCCCCGGTGCAACAAGGTGGTTTCAGGTTCCCCTGGCTCGGCACCGGTCCCACCTCCAGCCGCTCAGAGCCCAGGCCGTGTCACATTCTCACGACATTTGGAATGTGGCTGCTCTTCAGGCCTTTGGGAACTGGGCCTGCTTAGAAAAGGGGGAAGGAGGGGAGAGAGGTGTTGGTTACACAGCCCGCAGGAAAGGGGCCCCAGGGTAGAGTGAGGACAGGGGAGCAGTCCAGGACAGAGTGTGGTTGCTCAGCTAAGCTAGGGTCTGTAGGCATGTTTGTGCAATATGCACACTGCTCCGTGTACCTGTGCATCTCTGTTCCTGCTTTTGCGCTCTTGTGTGTCTCTGCACCTACGTTTGTCTGGACCTGTGCTTGTGGAACATTTTCTTTGCAGATGTGTGTTCACCTCGGCATGAGTTGTGTTCTGCCCTAAACATGTGCGCATTAATTTGTAAATTGTGTTCTTGCTGAGCTGGCTACAGCTTCCTGTTCTCAAGCCTCGCCCTCCCATCCCCCTGCCCCAGAGCCCCAGATCCTATCACAGCCTCACAATATTTGGAATGTGACGGGACAGGATGTGATCTTTGGGTGTGAGGTGTTTGCCTATCCCATGGCCGCCATTGAGTGGAGGAAAGATGGCGTGGACATCCAGCTGCCAGGGGATGACCCCCATATCTCTGTACAGGTAGGAACAGGGAGCAGGGGCGTACTCTCGGAAAACCTAGGGCTTCCCCAAATGACCTTGCTGACAGCACATCTGGCTCCAGTTTAGGGGTGGACCTCAGAAGTTTGAGGTGACCGGCTGGCTACAGATCCAGGCTTTGCGTCCTAGTGATGAAGGCACCTACCGCTGCCTTGCCCGGAACGCCCTGGGCCAAGTGGAAGCCTCTGCTACCCTGACAGTGCTCACACCAGGTAAGGGAGCCCCAAGCTCTGGGCTCTGGGCACTGGGAGGATGGGGTGTCTTAGGATCCTTGAATTGGTGTAAGGAGCAGTGTGCATGGGAATGTTGTGCCCCCCAGGCGTAGCTTTCCCACACACTGAGCTGTCTGCTTCGTCTGGGCCTCCTCTGATCTTTCTCCTTCATCACATGTGTTCGCAGACCAGCTGAACGCCACAGGATTCTCCCAGCTGCAGTCACTTAATTTGGTTCCCCAGGAGGAGGCAGAGAGTGAAGAGGATTACTACTAGATCCAGATCTCTGATTTGTGGGTGTGGGTGTGTGGATAAGGTATCCACCCCTGCTGTTGAGAAGATGTGGAGAAGACTGGAAAGGGCGAGCAGGGTCCTTTCATGGATTGTTTAATGCTCGTTGTAGCCTCAGTTTACCTTTTCTCAAAACTTATCTTCTGGAAGCTTTCCACCTCACCGAGTTCCTAGGGACACTTACCAACTGTAGTCCTTTCTGTAGTGTGAGCACAGTAGAACTGATTTAGTTCAATGCAGAGGGAGGGTGGGTCAGCCCATGTCTTATACCTCTCCAGTGGATAAAGCCCACCTGGCACATGACTAGACACAGTGGGCACCAATAAAAAAAATAGCCAAACAGCCACACTGCTGCAGACAGTTCTCACAGATGTGCACATGAAGACCAGACCCCCTGAGTGGTCTCCCACTCCAACAGGACTCCAGCATCAAGTGACTACAAGCCCTGAACAGGCCTGCTCTGGGAAAGAAGGCTTGCACTCAGGCCTACACTGCCCTCTCCTGTCCTCTAGTGAGGGAGCCTGGAGCCGTCTGGTTGGAGGGAGGGCAGAAGTTATCCCCTCTACCCCGTTGGTATAGGGATAGATTACCTGTTTCCTAGTCCTTATTCTCTTCTCCCCAGGCAAAGTGGGGAAACAGGTCTGTGTGAGTGGGACCCCAATATGAATGTTTAAACTGAGTGGTTTAACAAGTGGCACCCTTGTTAGCCACACCCTCCCTCTGCTCCCCCATTTCCTTCCCATTTCCCAGCTGAACCCCAAAATCATAGTAACCCTATTTCCAACCGTCCCAGCTATGACCTGTCTTATCTGATCTGAAGTCCTTCACAAAAGCACTCTTTGGCCTAAGTTTCTCCTTCCATTCTCTGGACCTAGCCCAGGGACACTGAGGAGCTTATGAGATGGTCTAAGGGTAGGTTGGAGTTAGTCATCAGGCCAAGAGGCTGTGTGTGGAAAGCGACAACCTCCTACGCCCCCGGGCTCCTCCCGAGCTGGCGCCACCGCAGGGAGGAACGGCATTTGGCTCAGCGTCTGCGTTTGCTTTGTGGGACCCAAGGCAAGCTGCTGGGCCCCCTGGGAGGGGCGTGGCCGGGAACCCCATCTTCGGGGCTGGCCACCCTTCCAGCGCGTGTGCACTGCGTTTTCAACAGCTTCTGCCTGGCGGCAGCCACTTTTCCAATCGGGTTCTCACGGTGGTCCCCGGTGGTCATGCTCCGCTGTTTGGGC